CAATATAATATTACAATAAGCTGGCCTTGACGTAGATCTATGTAATGAATTGTGCGCTGGTCTATGGAATCAAATTTAAAAGTTGCCGTACACTAGGCTCTACACAGCAACACATCTTTTTGGCAAACAATCGAGATGACACAGGCGTGCATTTGAACGAATTGGTCTTTTTTTGCACAGCTCATAATATGCAGGCATTTCAGGCACTACTTGTGACTTCTTTTTATACATTACTTGCTCAGTGCCTGTAGCTATCTACACAAAACCTCGTGTTTGCTATAACGAACACCCGGATTCAACGAGATTTTTGGTCAGGCCCGGCGACCTCGTTGAATCCGAGTTCCACTGTAAGCAGTTGAAACCATTATGACCGTACGCAATGAGCGATCAACTTGGCGGCTTACTGTTTATCCAATCACTGTTGTCACCGCTTACAACTCTGTAGTAACCCAGCAGCCAACCAAATGTCTTTAGTGCTCAGCAAAGGATGAGCCCTTTCCCATGTCCCGTCCTTAATGAAACTCTTCTTGTAAAGAAGGTAAAAGACTCGAAAAAAGAACACTGTATAGAGGGCTCACGCTCTCCTAGCCCTGACAATGGGGTGAAAGTTTACGACACTCTTTCCCCCACCAACACAGATATCTATGCGCTCATTGCGTTCGACTTTCTCGAGTACACGGCCTAATCCAGCTCATAGAAGTAAAACGTTTGAAGTGATGTGTGTGCATGTTTGTGTTTGGGCCGCTGAGATTTAACAGTTATAAATCAGGTCAAATTACTTTTACGGGAACATTTTCGTGACATGGAAATTAATTAGTGGAAATTTGGAGGTGAATTGGCTTCGTCCCCACCATCAACAAGAATTTAACTAAGAACAAAGAGATGGAAAACAAAGGTAACTCTTCTCGTTTGAATGGTATTCAAAATGCCGTGGCTCACCGTGAGTATAGAAAAATTATCACTGTTTAATTCTTATTGCTTGCAACTTGGTGGTAAAGAACTAGAAGCAACCTAAGCCCCACCAAATTTTCCTCCCACTGCCACTGCACACACACACACAGACACACACACACAACACACACAACACACACACACACACCCACACACCCACACACCCACACACCCACACACCCACACACCCACACACCCACACACAAAGAAAAACAAAGCAAAACAAAGCAAAGGAAAATGAGAGAGAGAGAGAGAGAGAGAGAGAGAGAGAGAAGGAAAGAGAGAGAGAGAAAGAAAGAGAAAGTGAGAGAGAGAAGAAAAGAAAGAGAAAGACAGGCAGACAGGTAGGCTGACAGATAGAAAAAAGACAAGAGTTGTTTAGAGAAATAAAAAGAAAGGTCAGTGATCACTAGGAGGATACTAATAGGTGCCTAAGTCTCATCAGTTGCTTTGCCTGTAACATCCACGGTTATCAAGGGCCGATGTGATAACGTACCAGGTATATCACGTTATCGCATATTGACACAAAATGAAGACACATGCACTAGGCCAAATTGTGTTGACGAAGCGAGCAACACTTTTGTCGTGGTTTCCAAATCATTGAAGAGGTTTTAACCCTTTCACCCCATCTAGCGTGTCTGTGAATCTCTTTCGTGGGATTATTAAGCAGATATTGCAGTGTAAAGGTTAATGAACTAGATAACATTGAAAATAGACTTCGTTATATGAATGCTTTTGTTTAATAGATCAGCAGTAAGGTCAAATGGTCATGACTTGCGAACGACGCCATTATGTGACTGGTTAACAGAAAGGATGAGAGAAACAAAATTGTGATACTAAACTTCTCTGTAACCGTGTTCTAGGGACTCATAATATTATGGCGGTGGTTCCGTTTTCTTCACGAGACAATTTACACGTGTGTATGCAAACATCTCAGTTATAAACAAGAACTGTGTAGAGAAAAATCATAGCTATACATAGGAAGAACGCAGGATCGAAAACATCTCAGCCATAAGTACAAAATGTGTATGGAATCATTGCATCTATAAACTAGAGATGAGTATGTAAAACACCGCAGTTATAAACAAGAGATGTGTATGCAAACATCGCTGCCATAAACTGTATGCGCAGCTGAGAAAAACGCGTTAGATTTCTTTCAAAAACGGTAAACAACATGACTTTCATGAACTCTACATTGCTTAATACTTGGATCTTTGTTTTGAATTGTTTCATTGTCATCATGTGCAACGTTCATGCAGAACCTCAGCATGGTAAGAAGTGAAAGTATGTATGTATGTATGTATGTATGTATGTATGTATGTATGTATGTATGTATGTATGTGTGTGTGTGTGTGTGTGTGTGTGTGTGTGTGTATGTATGTATGTATGTATATATGTATGTATGCAGATTCTATTTATTTAAATTGTATGTACGTTCGTACATACGCATGTGTGTAGGCATTATGTATGTATAATATATGTACTTGTGTGCGTGTGTGTGTGCGCGTGTGCGTGTGTGTGTGTGTGTATGTGTGTGTGTGTGTGTGTGTGTGTGTGTGTGTCTGTGTGTGTGTGCATTTATGTATGTGTTATCGCTCTCTCTCTCTCTCTCTCTCTCTCTCTCTATTTATCTATCTATCTATCTATCTATCTATCTATCTATCTATCTATCTATATATATGTGTGTGTGTGTCTGTGTGTGAGTGTGTGTGTGTGTGTGTGTGTGTGTGTGTGTGTGTAAATGTATGTGTGTGGGAGTTCAATTTGTGTATTCGTATGTGTGTATGTGTGCTTGTGTGTTTGTGTGTTTGTGTATGTGTTCGTACTTGTGTATATATGTGTGTATGTGTGTGGGTTGAATATGTGTTTTATGTGTACGTTTGTTTTTGTTTTTGGGCTTGTTAGTGTGTGAGTGAGTGTGTTTGTATGTGTGTGTGGAATGTATTTGTATGTGCATGTGTGTGTTTGTGTTGAATATGTGTTTTCGTATATGTGTATGTGCGTGTGTTTGTGTGTCTATGTGTGTTTGTGAGTGAGAGAGAGAGAGAGAGAAAAAAAGAGAAAGAGAGACTGACAGAGAGAGAGAGAGAGAGAGAGAGAGAGAGAGAGAGAGAGAGAGAGAGAGAGAGAGAGAGAGAGAGAGAGTGACAGAGGGTGACAGAGAGTGAGAGAGAAAGAAAATGAGACCGAACGCGCATTTACGTGGTTGATGGTGCTTATCAATACGTTTGTCGATTCAGTAACCGAACTACATTATTATCAATCTACAAAATATGTTTCTCTAGCTATCATTGTATTTTAAAAATCTATTTATAATTTCGTTTGTTTATCAATGTATATATCATTTTGTATGCAGACAAGTTGTCTGTTTTTCAAAATACTCGTGTATCCAAGTTTTTATATAATACATGTAGCTATTTGTGCGGTTTTCTAAGAGTCCCTTCTTATTTTGTTTAATACAATCATTCATTATCTATCTATCTATCTATCTATCTATCTATCTATCTGTCTATTTATCTATCTATCTATCTATCTATCTATCTATTTATCTATCTATTTATCCATCTATCTATTTATCCATCTATCTATCTATCTATCTATCCATCCATCCATCTATCTATCCATCCATCTATCTATCTATCTATCTATCTGTCTATCCATCCATCTATCTATCTATCTATCTCTCTCTCTCTCTCTCTCTCTCTCTCTCTCTATATATATATATATATATATATATATATATATATATATATATATATATATCTGACTTGTTATCCTCAAAGTAGGCCAGCATAATAATATTATTCTGTTTCCGTAATTTCCTGTTTTCCAAATACAGCTTTCTCCTATTAACGGCTGCTCACCTGCTTTTGAATACCCTGTTTATTATTTTTGGTTTTTAATGCAGGTGTGTCTTTAATTTTATAAGAATCGTGCTCATGAGAAAACATTATTCTTTTGATCAGACAGGACAGGACGATAATGATAAACCTTTGCCCTCATATTCGAAAGTTGCTTGAAATGGGGCACACATCAGGGGTCTTCGCTCTACGGACTTGTGGGAGAGGGGTGGAGTGATTGAGATGGCATTTTAGCCACCATGACGTCTGCAGCAAAAACGTTCTTTTATTTTAAGAATATAGTTTTGTAGGCAGTGGGAAGAAGTCGAAATTTAATTATACCTTATTGACTTCAAATGAATACAACCCCAATACACGTTCAGTCTTTCTTGAGGAACATTGTGGCAATGAGCTCAGCACAGACGCTTCGATACTTCTGGTGGTAGGCAATTGGTCTTCCCTGCCTGTGGACCACAGTTGTTACATCAGTTTCCGCCTCCAGACGCATTTCCACTCAAAAGATGTGGCAAGGGTAAGTGTCACAATAGGTTATTTGTTCGATTTTTTGGATTGTTCTTTCTTTCTTTTGTGCAGTTACATTTTACTTTTTTCGTTTGTTGTTGTGGTTTTCTTCTTCTTCTTCTTCTTCTTCTTCTTCTTCTTCTTCTTCTTCTTCTTCTTAAGTCTAAGTATTCTGACCGATTTAAGAACAGCAGCTGCCAGAAAGCTCTTAGACCCTTGCGCTGAAGAGCTTCACTATTGTGTGAAAGACTCTAGTTCATGAAACCCACTGCGGATTTCTTATGCTTTGAATGTTTAGGGAGATGTTTTACAATGCTCTCTGTCTTCTTGGATAGGAACTTTCGAAGTCTGGAGTTAGAATAAGATTCCTGCGTCTAGTATCCGTGCAATGTAGGACCCTTTTCTGAATGAGGTGTACAAAAGGATAATGGTAACACACTGAGGTGTATGTTAGGGCCGATAGGGTTGATATTGACAATTACAAAGACAATGACAATCTTTATTCATCCAGCAGGGAGAAATTTGTCTTGGTTTTTTTTTTCAATTGCAGAGGATGTTACAAAGATTCTGTGCACTCACGTATACGCCTAAGATTTGCCACACAACATCACACTGAGATGTTTGCTCTGGAATATACGGTTAGGATGCACCACACCCCTTCACACTTAACCAGTAGTGTTAAGGGATACTAGACTGCTTGCACTGTATGCTTCCCGGGAAGCTGAGAATGTTTCGGAGTGTTCTATGGTCTGCTGGGGTAATAATATAGTGTAAAGCGCATAGAGCCTGCTGCTGAGCGGGGATATGCGCTATACAAATGCTATCTATTATTATTATTATTTATTAGACAGTTTTCTTCAAAGTGAACAACACCAAAACTCGAGAATGTGGAAGACGTGAAGTAAATGTGGCAGCAGCTGTCTATGGTGGAAAGAACAGACAGTGACCGCTTTCTCTGCCTCTTTCAGTATCTCTCTCTCTCTCTCTCTCTCTCTCTCTCTCTCTCTCTCTCTCTCTCTCTCTCTCTCTCTCTCTCTCTCTCTCTCTCTCTCTCTCTCCCTCTCTCTCTCTCCCCCCTCTCTCTC